AGGTAGATGCAGCGCAAGTCTACCGGCACTATAAACCCCTGCGCAAGTCACCGTCCCTGCTCCCATTGCTGCTGCAGCTGTGGGGCACACGGTGGACATCGTCGAAATCGATGGTCGAACTGTCGTGTGTGTGTGTGTGTGTGTGTGCGCGTGTGTGTGTGTGTGCGTGTGTGTGAATGTCCCAAACACTCAACCGACCGGGGGGGACTCAGCAACCCTTGGATACGACGAGTTTTGACTCCATCTTCTTCACTGGCAGCTCCCATGTGGGTCGCATAGTGATGCAGGCAGCTTCCAAGAACCTGACACCAGTTGCCCTGGCAAGCTGTCTTCAGGAGCAGTTGCGTCCCAGCCCCCTTCTCCAGTTAAACATTTCTTTTATTGAGGCGTTACCGGTCGGCGTCTGGTCCCTTCCAGAGCACAAGACTACTTTTCCATGCTTACAGCATGCGGTTTCGGGATATAGTCGTCTCTAGCCGTTTACTCGGAAGTTACGCAGAATTTGGAGGCATTTAAAGGCCCTGACTTTACGCCGTTAATAGAAGCGCCGATGATTGAGTGCTCTCGAGAGCACAACAGCCTCCGAAACCTTTACATCACTCCCCCTTGGACTTTGAGTTTGAAAACTTACGAATTCAATTTCTTGCCTATTTGGTATTTGATCGTGTCTGTTAACCACATTACATTATCAAGCACGGTACGCCAAGAGTCGAAGCTGGGAATACTACCAACTGAGGCGGTAATTCAGTCCTTCTCGAGACTGACAGTCGGAGTGCACTGGCGCCTCAATGCTGCCTCTTTGACAGCACCACGCATGCGAGATCCGGTTCACTCTTAGAGTAGATGTAGTGAGAACCAGGTCGTTTATGTGTGTCACGTGTAAAAGGGTTGTTCGCCCCTATCAGCCACCACACCTCCAGCCCTCTTGACACTGTCCGGTCGTCGGAGCAGGGTGGGTTAAGGGGGTGGTGCGGCAGATGCTGGGCAAGTCTGTCTCACTATAAACTAGTTTACACGCAAGTTGCCGAGGCTGCGTCTACTCTGTGGGGCACGCGGTAACGTTGTTGCCTGCGATGGTCAGACTCTTATCACCTACACAACCCGCTTTACTTCCGAACACTGAGCACATCCAGTTTGGAGGAGAACGTCGAACTGGATTGATTGTGGTTTTAGACGTAGTCGAATCCAGATTTTCCGTTGTTAAGCCAAAACGCGAGCCCTTTTTTGCAGCAATACGCACAATCCGCCCGGAGGGTGTTACTCTCTGTGTTCCCCCACACAGTGCTATTTGGAAGCTGCTGCGGTATAAACATTTCTTACGAGCTTTATGACGTCGACGGTCGCTCTTATTTTACCGACTGTCTACTTGTTTCTAACCGGACCCCTCTAAAGTGGGCAATTTATTGAGGAATTTCTGGTCAGTTATAAGCCAGGCGTTGGCCACCACACGCAGTCAGGCAGTTAACAGTCTTCACAAGCATCCCAACTCTAATAACTATTGCATTTCATTATTACAGACGGTAGTGAGCCATTCCGCATGACGGACACAGGGACAGCAACTTGCCCAGTATCCTCTGCGCCCTTTTCTCACTTACCCACCTAGTTCCGGTGAAAAATCGGTAGTTCGACTGTCGATTTCGACGATTTCCACCGTGTGCTACAGGCAAGTTGACTTGCGCAGCATCTACCACACTCTCTCCTCCCCACTTTTCGCCTGGATCCGATGTTAATACAAAGTCGAGAAGACCAGAGGCGGGGTGGGGCTCAGGTTGCTGGCACGGCCGGACCCGCACCTAGGCGTGCCACCACACACCTGGTTCACAGCACATAACTGACCAGGATTTTTCACCAGCAAAAACAACCCCCCAACAGGGGGCATGCGGAGATGGGTTGTCAGTCGCGTCAACGTCTAGTCTTCTTTCCTTTACCTCGTCATCGCAGGACGGCGAAAGTGAGGTTGATGCCTCGAAAGTCTGCCGTGTTTACTTAGTGGAGCAATGTGAACATCCTCGCTTGCGACGATTGAAATGCCCTCTGGCAGTTCAAGCGTATTGACTTGTCGCTGATTTTCGGAAAAAATGTACTGTTTTTGGAACAAATTCAATCGGCTTGGAAATCTAGCTCAGAAATTACTTTGTTATGGTCGGATCCCGCAAGCTGAGACGGCAGTGCGTAAGGTTGGCAGTATCTATAAAAAAATTCGGCTAGATCGCAGTTGGTAGCCAGGACCCGTGTTACAGTTGCCGGGTGAGGGGGGGGGGGGTTGCTACTGAGGCTATTTTGTGGGGCTCCATAATCACATCCAATTGGTTTCCGTTTAGCGTTTGCTGTTTGGAATAAGGTACCGGTTAATGGTCTCCGATTTTCCGGTTAGGGGTATGCCTTTAGACTTAGGGTTTCGGGTTACGGTTAGGGTTCAAGCGTACGATTAGGTTTCAGTATTACGTTTAGGATTTTCAGTCAAGACTATGCCTAAGGGCTACGGTTACGTTTACGATCTCGATTAGGGTTAGGTTTGCCGTTAGGATTAACGGTTAACGTTTAAGGTTGAGGTTAGGGTTAAGGTCGCCGTCCGCTTCCCCATTCCTGGCTATCAACTGCAATCTAGCCAAAAATTCTACCAGCTAAGAAGTCTGTTATGAAAGCAACTACATTTCCTTACATATCCTATGAGATGTTAACAGAAATTTTGCCGTGTGTTTTCAGTCAGAAGGGATTACTTTTTGTGGAGTTGTACTTATCTATTTTCGGGTAAGACTGACTTGTATGACCCCCTCAACCGGGCATAGAAATGGGAACGTCCCGCCCAAGTAATAAAGGTGGACCTGAGTACAATTTCGGAAAGGGCAAATATTCTTGTGTTCTAGCCCCATCAGAAACCATAATGTGAAACTAAACCGTTGTCCTAACCTCCAAACTAAAACTGCCCTTAGCCCTAACTCTTCAGTTAACACCAGCCTCCACCTTAACCCCAAACTTGCTCCTGACTTGCCTAACTGGTAACTCTAAATCTAGCCTTAAACCTAGCCCTAATTTCAATCGAATTTGGCTCAAAGCCATCGGTGTTGCAGGCGGTTTTTGTTCTCATGTCCTGTTTAGAGGGCCGTATAAGTCAGTCTTACCAGTTGCCGGGTAGTATACTCTTAGGATATTTCAGCCACGCCAAGATGTCTCGCGTGGACTCGCGTATTTCCAGTCGCCTGAAAACATTTATAAAATTTATGGTTACAAAAGTACTACGCTTTTTCCAACAAATTTCGATGTCGGAGAAATTCAAATATATTTTATAGTTATTACGCACAAAAATAATATTTCTTGTACTTATTTGGTGGCAGATAACGTCTTCTTCAAATTTTATGCTTGAAGAAAGGGTATATCTATGCTTTGTATTTGGGATTTTTCAGACCGTGAAATATCCATTCATGCAGTACCGTATCTGTTTTTGTCATTAATGCTGCTTGTTAAGTAGACAGCGCAGTCCTTACCCGTTGCAAAATCTCATGAGCTTTATATGACGTCTTCTTAATACCATAGGGACTGCAGGATTATCATTACGTTAAAAGTATGCGATTTGAAGGTTTGAAAACACTCAGAGAGGGTCGCCTTCAGAATTATTCGGAAGTAGGAAAAGTTTTTTAAAACCAAAAATGCCCATCGAATATCATAGTTAAAAAGCCGTACGTTGATGCCCAATCGGTACAATAAAAATAATCTTATGGAATCTCCCTGTAAAATTTGTTTGAACTTGTATGGGTATCGAAAATTAGTAGGATAAACGCATAGTAACTGGATGCTCATGCTTTAGTGCGTGTGGCTTTCGCTGGAGGTCGGAAAGAAGCTCGTTTAGAAGCCAGCTTCCTGGCGTGACTGAAGTGTCTTGGGTTCATATGCATGATAATCAGTATTACAGTTTTGCTAAATTTATCCATTCCAGGACACATCGGTTGTCTTTATCTTCCGGTGGGTTGACAGAATTTGTCTGTTTCAGTAAACATGACACATGCCGTTTTGCCCACATGGAGGCGATGTAGCTGATAGAATTCATGCATGAACGTTTAATGTTCAGAAGAGAAGAGAAAAAGAGGCTGCGATCGTTAGAACAAACAATTTATTGGTCTAACGTTTCGTTGACCCACTCGAACCCATCATCAGAAAAGGTCACAGATATGCATAATGGTGGCAGAGGAAGTAGCCGCTGTAGAACCAAATGCGCACTATAACTAACAGATCTCGCGATCGCCGTTTAAGGTCATCATAGATGCGATGATGGCTCGTCAGTCCGCGTTCGGTTATTTAATTGTCTCAGTTTCATTATCCTATTTCGATTTCGGCGTGATGATTACTCGGCCATTTGGCCTGCTGTCATTTAGATTGTTGCTCGTCCAAGCCCTCCCCTACGTATCTGATTCCCCTGCGTAGGGAATGTTTCGATATTGAATATGGTAATGGGAGGTTATTGCGCTTATTGATGAATTGTGGACCAAAGAAAAAAAATCGACGATGAAGTCCCTCTCAGGATCTCGAAAGCCAGTCAAGCCTTCGGCCGCCTCCAAAGCACAGTTTGGAACCGTCACGATCGTCAACTGAACACGAAGCTGAAGATGTACAAGGCCGTCATCCTGCCGAAGTTGCTGTACGGAGAGGAGACTTAGACAGTGTACACAAAGCAGGCACGCCGACTGAACCACTTCCACCTCACTTGTCTCCGTCGCATCCTGAAACTAAACTGGCAGGATCGAATCCCCGACACTGATGTGCTGGAACGGACGGGAAACCTCAGCACCTACACCATGTTGAGACAAATGCAGCTGCGCTGGAGTGGCCACCTGGTGCGCATGGACGACGAGCGAATACCCAAGCGACTCTTCTACCAAGACGTCGCGACGGCTTCTAGCTGCCAAGGAGGCCAAATTCGTAGATACATGGACACTCTGAAGTCCTCCCTGAAGCGTCTCTAAATAAACCCAACCAATTGGGAAGAGCTCGCCATCGACCGACCGATGCGGAGGAGGAAAGTAAAGACGGGCGCTGCGATCTATGAGGTCAACCGAATCGCCGCTGCCAAAGTGAAACGCGAAGCACTCAAATCACAGCTACGCCCCGTCCGCAACTTCGACGCACAACCGCTTCCAACGTGTCCTCGGTGTAAACGGACATTCCGGACACGAATTGAACTCAAAGGACACCTTCGGACCAACTGTACCACCCATACCGCACCAACCGCCGTCCCTCCGCCCGCCTCCTCCTCGTCCTCCCCGCCGCCAACTAACTCTGACAATTCCTTTGAACCACCGCCTCCATCATCCTCCTCCTCCGGCTCCTCCTCCTGCCCCACTGCACCAACCCCAGCAGCTCTGGTGGCCATCACTCACATCAGCATCACACACATCCAAAACACAACAACAGACACCATTCCTCCAACCCCCGACTCCAGGGGTGAGGGCCAGGACTACACCTGCCCTCACTGCGACCGCACCTTCACCTCACACATTGGCCTGGTCAGTCACTTGCGAATCCATCACACAGAGACTGGTAAACTAGTGCCAGAAGCACAAACCTACACCCACCGCACTCGCCTCCACGGTCCACGTTGCCCTCGCACCTACATGCATTGCATGGGTCTATTCGGCCACATGCGTATCCACGAGAGCGGAATTGACCGCCCTCCCGACTCACCCACCACGCCAAACCCATCCCCAATTCATCACCATTTGCGCCCACCACCGTTATCGCAACTGACATCGACAGCACCGACTTCACCATCCTACACTGTCCACGCACATTCCCCTCTCGCATAGGCCTGGTCGATCACTTGCGAATCCATTGCACGGAGACTTGTAAACCAGTGACTGGAGCACCAACCTCTACCCACCAAGCTCGCATCCACTAGCCAACTGCCACCTCCTACGCAAGTGGGAAGTGTGCATCTCGACTCTGTCCCCTCGCGGCTTCGGCCGCACGGGTGACTTGAGTCCGAGACTATCCCGACACTTCAAGCGTCGTGGATAGGAAGGATGCTGATTGACGCCCCCACTCGGTCCACGCACTTCGTCCCGTTTTGTGTGTGTAGTGTGGAGTGGCGGACTGGTGGGCTGAGAACGGGCTGAAGCAGTACCTTCCACGGCTCTATCACGCAAATGAGAGACACGCCGTTCAACCTCCGTTGTGCCAAATCCTGGTGTTTGTGTGTATGGGGGGCGCGCGCAGTCATGGTCAGTCGGCCATGCCAGCCACCGCGCCCATTCCCCACTCCAGTCTGCTGACCGGCTCGGACAGCGGCTGTGATGTGGGAATGGGAAGGGAGAGTGTAGTCGACGACTCAACGCACTTTCTCCTCATATTAACAATCTGACGAGCCTGAAGCTATCCCGGTGCGCTAAAAGCCGTGGCTTGGATGGTTGCCAACTGACGGGATGACTTGCACCTCCTTGACTGGAGGTCTGAGAGTCAGGTTGCAATGGTTCCTTCTTAATGTGGCCTTTATGGCACTCCCACCCCAGTGTAGGATCCAAGTCATGCGTCAGCGGCACGCCCAGGTGCGGCTTCGGCTGTGCCAGCCTCCAATCTCTGTTGTGTTGGTTGAACTCCTAGTTATTTGTTGTGTGGACCAGTGGGTGTGGTGGAAAGCCAAGGTGAGGATCCGTCCGAGCCATCAACCTGCGACCTCCTTCGTGTCCGGTCTTCCTGACTCTGTCTTTACACCGGGCTCGGGCGAGACAGGAGGAGAGAGTGTAGGTGGATTCAGCGCAAGTCTACTTGCACTATAGACCGCTGCGTAAGTCACCGTCCCTGCTCCCACACTGCAGTCTGTGAGGCACACGGTGGACATCATCGAAATCGATGGTCGAACTATCGGAATGTCGCAAACGAGCCAAGTTGTAGATGCCCTGGACTAACATGGGGAAAATATTCGACTCTGGCAGGCGTTATCGGAATGCGCACCATAACAGATGCCAACAGTTCGGGGTGCGCTGACAGACCCAGTTGCCGGCAGCGCTCGCGCACACTGGGACCCCTGCCGTCCCCTCATTTTCGTTGTTGGTCAGAATCCTGGTCATTTGCTGTGTGGACCAAGGGGTGCGGTGTGGAGCGCCAAGGTAAAGGCCAGCCACCTGCGACCTCTCCCGCCTCCGAGCTTCTTGACTCTGTCTTGACACCGGAGAGAGCGCAGCAGATGCTGCTCAAGTATACTATCCCTATAAACTACATTTTCGCACAAGTCACCGTGCCTGCCCTCACCCGGCTT